TGTCACACAGGTAGCCGTGTTACATTTCCGTTTCTCCAGGTGGTGGCTACTAAGGTAAAACAAAAAGAGATCAAAGATTAAGTCAAATGATGAGCAATCAAGCGTGCCACTTCTAATAGGCATTTAAGCTGTGCTAATGTGGGAGTTCTTTTAATATGTGCACAAATACAGGAACGTTACAATCTTCCTACCACCTACTTTGTGCCTGAAAAAAAAATCTTGCGCTGTATGCTATTATCAGTTTTAATGACGGGGGTTATTTAAATGCAAAGACCTTAACAGTCATATGTCACTTTTATTGATATTCCGCATAGCAGTTTATGTCATCTAGAAAACCTGTAATGATAGTATAGTTAAGACAGTAAGTGAAAACAATGACTAAATGTTTAGCTTTAAGCTGAACTTCTAAATCTATTTTAGAGCTCTTGCTGATATCATGAGGATTACTAACATAATGACAATCACTAACATTTATTTAGTTCTCTTGCTCCCACAGAATCATATCCTGCTCTTACTGCAGTGAACAGTAATCTTCCAGTCCACAGCCAGTGGATTGAGGCCAGAGACCCTTTCTCCCAACTGCTCCACATATCATGAAATGTGGCAGGCGTTGCCAGCTTCTGCTCACTTCAGTGCCACTTAAGATTTTGTTCTAAGAAAAGATTTCTTCCCTATTGAAAAGCAGCCACATCTTTGTTGAAACACCAGCAACTTGAAAGTGTTGTTGGGGTAGGAGATGATAAGTTGCTGGATGTGACTTTAAAGAATGTCCATGGAAGAATCCATATCTAAAGAGAATATTTTATGGTCTAATCCAACAGAACTCTGTGCAGAACTTAAGTAGCATGACATCTTTTTTTTTTTCTAAATCATAATATCATAGTTAACTTAAGAGACCGTGAGTTTTCAAACTTATTACTTATACCACTGTGTTGTTCCTTTGGACAGAAATATTTGATTGCTGAGATTCTTTATTGAGTTATTGTTAATTTTCTTGGGTTTCTTCATGTTGATGTGGCATGAGGTAGACAACAGTTTGCAGCAAAAATTTACTGTGAAGAGTGACATTTTCCCAGTTTCAAACTCTGAGCAATTAGCAGTGAGTACATTGATTGACTAAATCTGTTACCTAAAATGTCATCTATTCTTTTAGAGTTAGAATCCAAATGGAGTACCAGTTGTGAGAGAAACGTTTGTATTATACTGGTTCGTCCTCGGCAAATAGACAGCAATTTCTAAGCAATTAATATTTTAAATATGTAACTGTATTTAAAGGAAATGGTTGCATAGGTCTTGATATAGCTTTTCTTAGGTTTTCATGGGTAGTTCTGTTGATTTAAAAAGAGTTTAATTAAGCCCTTAACATATGAGGTTCAAACAGCAACTGGTTCTCGTGGAAATCCTGATTTGTTTGTGAAGGCAGAATTCTCTTTTGTCGAAGGTACAAAATGAGGCCCTGACACTCTGAGTTTAAAACTCCAGTCCTTACAGGGAGCTACTAGATTTCTAGCTGATGTCTAACCTGACTGAACCCATTCTACCTGGTAGCTCTGTGATCTGTAACCTTTAACACACTCTGAGTTTAAAACTCCAGTCCTTACAGGGAGCTACTAGATTTCTAGCTGATGTCTAACCTGACTGAACCCATTCTACCTGGTAGCTCTGTGATCTGTCAGAAGGAACTGAATATGTGCTTCAATGAGACAGTTCACCCAGTCAAAGATTGTAAACCAAGGTCCCAGAAAAGCAGATAAGGCATGCCACACTCATAAAAGTGTTGCATTGTGTTTGAGTATTACACTTGGTATTTTTTTTTTTTTAATGTAAGAGCTGTAAAAGTGTGGGAACTTAGTCTCCTTTATCAAAATATTTTGGAAGATAGCCAAATTGTCATAGAAGAATGACTTTCTTTTTTTTTAATAAATTGAGAAAGAAAGAAGCAGGCAACTATACAGACCTGTGCAGTTACTGAATCTATCCAGAATTGTCATTGTAATAAATTCACTCAAAAGCCTGATGAAAATTAAGATAGTTCAGTGCTGATTATCTTTTAGTAGAAATTACAAATACTTTTAAAATACTCTTTTATTCATAAAAATGTTACCTGAAATTGGATTTATGGATTTATTAACATGAATGCAATTCAGACTAGTTAAATTCTGTCAGAGCCAATTGCTTCTTTTCTTTCTTCCCATGATTAAATTGATATTTAACTCTGACTCTGTAATGAAATATTAGTTACTTAAAGGAAACAGTTATGTTACAAAATAATTCCATTCTAGCAGAGTATTAGTGTTATTAAGAAGGGTATATTTCCTTTTTTTTTCCTTCAGGCTTGGAAATGTGAAAATAAGACTAGATATAAAATAAGAAAGCCCTTTCAAAACACACCTTTCTTCTCAAGATAATTTGTAGCCTTTGTAGCACTGTAGCATTTGTAGCCTTTTTAATTTATGAAAGCATTATAATTGTAAAGTGGTTAAATGATTTGCAAGTTTTATCTCTGGATTTCTCTTTCTACCCTGAATGCTTTGATCTTTATGCCTACAGAATGGCTCTAATTACAAGAAGAAGGGTATTTTAAGCTCTTTTTGAGGATAAAGAACATACGCAAAGAGTCTCAAGTAACAGAATATCACTAGCATGAAGTTTGCTCCATAATTTAATCATAACTAGTATGACTAGAAAAAACAAGGCAAACCAATACCTTTTTGTCTTTGCTGCTGGTTGTTCTGGCATTTCCTCACTAAGTCCTGAAAATGTATTCCGTGACATTACTGGCAATATCCATCCTTGTCTCTTGGAAGTACCATCAGATAGATCATCAGCCACAGACAGTAATCTTTAAACAACAATAAAATACCCTGTGAGACTGAATAGCTCTATTTTTGCTCATATTATTTGAGATATGAAAGCAAATGAGATTCATGCAATAATCTCACCACCTTTTCCCCTAAAAAGAAATCAATGTGATTATTTATTACTCACTTCTCAATAGGTGTAGCTTCCAAGCAGCTCAGAGTGACAGAAAGTGCAATGAAGAAAACTGACAGCTTTAGGTGGCACATCTTTGCTTCCAAACTTTCTGAAAAGGATAATGATTCAAAACTGAAAGCAAACCCAAATACTCTTCAGCATATCCTATTACTGATGCCCATTCTGTCCTAAGTAAACAGCAGCTAGTCTTTTTCACAGGCTAGAGTACAAAAATGATCTCCCCGAGTTTAGTGACACAACACAGCTTCAGACAGATAGCTCTCAACAAAAAATGTTCATTTTCCATCTAGTAGTTTCAATCCTTTCCCTTATCCATGGTTTGCATTTCCCAACATGTCCCAGTCTCAAATTCTGGACCCAGGTGTAATTTACCCTGAAGTTATCTTAGCCTTTCCCTGAAAAATGCTTTCGATTAAAAATGAGAAACGTTGTGCTTTCCTGAAAGCACATCTGTCGCGCTGCATCTTAAGGTAGGAAAACAAAAAAAAGGAAATTGTTTACCTTTAAGTGGTCAGGGAGCTAACTGAAGAAGCACGCCTGTGTTAGCAAGAAGGATGAATGCAACAATTCCACGCTTGCATCTAGCTCTGGAGTATCCCTTTTCCCCTTTCCTTGCTGACAAGTAATACGGCTCTTATATACCCTTCACACCTTTCTCAGCTCTGACATCAGGCAGCACAGAGACACTGTCATTAATTCCCATCCCTATAGATAGAAAGTACTCCAGAGAGGAGCAGAGGCAGGTAGGTCATTATTACATTAGCACATCGGTAAATATTAACCTCGTATATGCAGGATGCCCTCCTGAAGATACTGCAATAGCAGATTGCACATCAGAACTGTAGCCTCGATTCTTACAGTTCTGTTAAAATGCTGAGGTAATATTCCCTGTGGGTGTTTTCAAGGGCTAAATAAGGTAACAAAAGTTATAAAGAAAGCCAGAGTAAAGGAAACACCAGATGACCAGTAATTGAAATACAAGAAAACAGAGATCTTAGAAAAGATAGAATAGTTAAAGTTGTGGAGGGTTGTAGTTGAAGCATATAATGATCAAAACAGAAAAAAATGTTTGAAGGGATAAAAGCTGTATAAGGAATAAGAAAAGAATGAAAATTATTTTAATTGACAGGGTGATCATTCAGGGTAGCAAGGTAGAAATCATGTACAATTTTCAGTAAAGTATGAATATGAATGAAAATTCTGTCATTATTAATGTAAAATCTGATGTTTTGCTAACACTGTTAGATATTTAATGTCATGCATGAAAATTGTGTCAATTAATCTTTAAGAAGGCAAAGACTAGGATGAAAAAGTTAGGAAATGCCAGAACAAAGGCTGCATGTGCAAATTTGTTTCTCTTGTGTGCACTAGTGTACTCTAGTGCGTTCAGGGAAAAATATACAGCTTTCTAATAGAGTAAATCCAGTGTTAATAAGCTACCTGATTGCAGATTTCCAAGGATACAGAGTAGAATCATTCTTTCCCCCATTTCAGTGGGAATTAGGCACTTTTTTTTTTCTCCCTTTGTTTCATTAGTTGCCTTTAGGTGCTCGGATGCCTTTGGAAAACAGGACTTTCAATTATTTATGGAGGTGTAGATGCTGGCACAAAAGCTCAGGCAAAGTTTTCTGTGATAAGAAGTTATCATATGCATCTTCCATATCCCACAGGACATGAATTAATTCATAACTGCTTCAATGCCCAGTGCATTGCCTTAACTGGAAGCCTCCTTTGGTGTTTTAGTCTGTAACACCAGATTTTCACTGAAATGACTAAAGTTCCAGTGTTGGCTCTCTTCAGGAGTCTGTGCTACTTGGGTTGAATACAGAAGGAATATTTAGCTGGGATAGTAGCCTCTTAACCTGATAAAACAGCTAGTCTGCAAATAGGATTCTAGCAAGTGATGAAATGTCTGGGAGTTTTTTTGTTTGTTTTGTTTTTTAAAATGGGATGCTGCTCCCTGTGTCTAATGATATGATATGGTCATATATTTTTTTTCTCCCCAGGTTCCTGTCATCTGGGATGGACAGTCCCAGTGTAAGATAAGTAAGTATAGCGTTGTTTTGTCTCCACCATGACAATATGTTCTGTGCAACATCTGAAAGAAGTTTATCTCTCCAAAGAGTCTTCTGTTGTGATTTTCACTGTAGCATTTGACTACAATGAAATAAGATTCTGGTGTTATTTTCACTGTAGCAATTTCACTTGACTGAAATGAGGGCATGATCAGACCCATTTTACAGAGATAGAATTGTGCTAAAAAAGCAATTCTGAAAATAATCTGGTTGGTGATTGACACTAGCCAATATTCACTGCTTGAGTATTTAACTTGAAAATGCCTTGGTTCAATTCTTCCAGGCTGGGAAGAGATCCACATCCCACAGACGCTCAGTAGGGATGTGTATGCTCAGCTCTTGTGAAAAAGCAAACTCATGGTGTTTCAACTCCTGAAAAGCAATGGATAGATCAGATGCAGTTTGCATCTAAGGTTTTAAAAGACTGGACTGAATATTCAGGATGTTACGTTTTAAGGCAGCTAAGTGAACGGTTGTTGTGTCAAGCTTGTATCAGGCTAAGGGTTAACATAAGAAAAGTGAAACAAGCTTTTCAAAGAAACATTGGTCCCAAATCCTAATTCCAGCACTCCTGCAGGTGGCCTTGGGGACCCACTCTTTCTCTTCTTTGAGGGAAGAAGAGAAAGTCTGATCTTAAGTGCACTGCAGAAATGAAACTGGGCTCATGATGCCCCAGGACCATGGCCTGCCTCCTGGTCCATATAGCATTTTGGCAGAGTCAGCAAGAAGTTTATCCAGCTATTAGTCAGATGTAAAGTTAACAAAATTAATATATTACAGCTTCTGTTACAAGTTATCTTAAGCAGGAGTAGTGTTTTCCCACACAAACAAGAGTGGAATATGAAATTGTGGAATCTCTTTGACAACACAACGATCCATAACTCAAATTTCAAGAACCTGGCACAAAGTACTGTGCTATTAGTACCATTCAATGAAATGGTTAGTCGTATTTAGTGATTAGCTACTTTTATCACTGACAAAGTTCCTTAACCTTGATCTTAGAAAAAAAACCTTTATTACTGTACATAACAAATGCTATCAGCCTAAGAAAAAAATCAAGTATTCTCAGTGAAGAAACCCATGACCAGGTTCTATCCCGAATAGTTACATGGTGATTTTTCATACTTATACTGGCGCTTAAGTCTGTATGAAAAGATTTGTCTAAAGGTCAGGGGACACCAGAGCTGAATTTACAAAGAATCCAGAACACATGGTAGGCCAATGCCTTGGTTCCCCTTGTGGAAAGTACCTACAGAAATGTCTTGGGTTACAAGATGGTGAACAGACTCTGCGCGGTCACGTGCTTGAGCAGGCGAAACAGGGAACCAACCTCACCTCAAGTGTCTGTTGCTTTTACATACTGTGGAGTGGAATTTATCTGACTAAATGTGAGATTAATAGAGAGACCATTCTAGTGCCTGTTTCTAATCTGTAAGTCTCAAATAGCTCAGGCGATTTGTGCCTGTTTCTCCTTTTTGACTATAAAAACAGGCTTGGGTGACTTGCTCAGATAGAGATGTTTACACTGCAGGTGTCTAAATGAACGTGAAATGAATTCCATCAGGGGTGCTTTAGCTCTCTTACGTGCTCAGGGCCCAACATTTAAGGTTGTGTCCCTCTCTTTCTCATATTTACCTTCTTCTTAGGCTATTCTTGACACCCACTGGACAGCTGTTTCCCACTTTTAATGGCTGTTTTTCAATTTCTGAGTTCCACATTTGCTTAATAACATTAATAACACACATTAAGACTTTTGGTAATGAATGTCTCTTTCCCATTTGTGAGAGTGACAAAAAGCCATATTACCTGTTCATACACTTTATCAGATGCTTTTCTGCTGTGTAAGGTAGATGTCTCCAGTAAATTACATTGTTGCTCAGCTACCAGAAACTAGAAGTGTGTGAATAACTCAGGATTTAGTTTGCCTGTTGTATCAAAACAGAAAAGGAAAAGCTTTAGGCATTAACCTAAAATGAGCTTATTTCAATTTTTTGAATAAACCAGAAATCATAGCAACAGCAGTATTAATATGTATCAGTGTAAATTTTACCAGTAATGAAACAGAATGGTGCATGTGTCAGTGCTTGTAGCTGTTATATGAGTTGAGCACAATCTTTCATGTGATCTGACAAAATTACCTCATTTTTATAACAATTTTGTTAGCCTTTGATTCCTTTAAATAAGTTCGAATCAAGCTTTGAAACAAAAGTACTAAAAAAAGGTTTCAGTGATAGTATCAGCACCTCTGAAAAAAACTAAATGCCTTGTGTTCAAATGGCCAAATCTGAAATTGGAGGAGCAAATCTAGTGCCTAAACCTAGTTCTCTGCTATCATTTTAGATGTCCTAGGATATCCAGGGCTGACATTCGTGAACCTGGCTAACAGGACACTCGTAGCAACTGCAGACTAGGGGGAACATCAGAGGAAGTCTAAAATTACACTAGACACCTATGATTAGGAACCTGGATTGTTTCCTAAATTTTTACATTTGGATGCCAACATCTGAAAATTTTGGTTAAAATACTCTCTTCCCAGTATTCCTTGCTGGGTACCATGTTGATGAATACTACAATGTTTGTACTTTCAGGTGTGTGGAGTTGTACTGTTGTACTTAAGCAATGCGTATCTGCTTTGTTCAAATCTTGTTTTATAAAATATGCTTTTGCTAGCACAATTTTCATTGTTACTCCTACTTGGTGTGTGCCATTTCAGCACTGATGAAAACTCAAAGAGCTCTTCTTGTTGATCTTCTTGGGATCTTTTTGATCCCAAAGCGGATGTTAAACTTGTGAAAGAAATGTGGGAGAAACAGCAGAAGAGATAATAGGAGCAAAGGTAATAATCTCTTCCCAGTGGAAAAAACAGGTGATTCAGAAACAAAGGGTGGCCATCCATGGAATTGACTAGCAAATGGAAAGAACTAAATTGTATAATTATCAATATCTTAGTTCCAGCTTTTATGATGTATTATGTTGCTCAGCTCACACCATTGACAGAACAATGATGTAGCCTCAAAGGGCTATTGCTAATGATTGCTCCGAGAACGAGCTCAGCAGAGTTTGTGCTGAATCAATTCCTGCAGCTGGGAGCCTCCCAAGCAAGAGGAATAAACCTCATGGTTAGATCAGAAAAGTCAGGGTTGACAGCACAGCGATTGATGAGTTAGTTATAGTTCCTAATGCCCCTCCTACTTACAGTTTATAGAGTTTTATTTGCATGGTTTCTACTGGCTTGTAGTATCCAACAGTTTACTTTTGAATACAACACAGAAGGTTTGAATTCTTGATTTTCTTTGCCCCCGTCTCTTCTGAAACCTGCTTCCAGAAGTCTGTCTGCTTCTGAAACCAAAAGCAGAACTCTCCTTTGGTTATCAATGTCACTTACAAGGGCTCTAGACAGTGATAATTGTAAGTAGGTAATATGAAATAGTACTACTATTCTTCCTTTCTGGTAGTCTAAGCCATCCATTGCTTCCTGCTAAGATAATTATCTAAAGTCACTGTCTATGAGAATTAATTTGTAAAAATGTGTTCCTTTAAAATATTTTGCTTTAATGTATACATACCACTGCTACAATAGTATATAGAGTCCTATAATATGTGAACTCATATGTGTACTTTGAAGGAGAACAAATAATTTTGCTGACAAGAAGGCTATGGCACTTACTTGGAGTACTTCCTTACCAGGTCAGTGCATTGTAGATTCGCATCCTGGCTCACTGCATGGGTTTCTCCTTACGGAATAGACCAGAGAGACTATATTATCACAGGATCATAGAATGATATAATCATTAGAGTTGGAAGGGATCTTAAAGATCTAGTTCCAACCCCCCCTGACGTGGGCAGGGACACCTCCTACCAGAGCAGGTTGCTCAAAGCCCCATCTAACCTGATCTTGAACACTTCCAGGAATGGGGCATCTACAGCTTCTCTGGGCAACCTGTTCCAGTGTCTCACACCTTCACAGGAAATAATTTATTTCTGATATCTAGTCTAAATCTCCCCTCTTTCAGTTTAAAACTGTTACCCCTGGTCCTATCACTATGCTCCTTGATAGAGTCCCTCCCTGTCTTTCCTGTAGGCCCCCTTTAGATACTAGAAGAGTGCTATAAGGTCTCCCCAGAGGGACCTGCTGCTGAATGTGCAGAATGAGGTCTCTGTGAGTGCTCTTTTAAGGGTAAAAAGAGATTAAGTTATAGATATGTACAGAAGTGCTGTTTTCTGATTTACTAAGTGTAACTCTCCACCCCTCTTTCCCACCCCAGCATCTCATAAAGAGCACAGACATCTGTAGAAGATACAGGGAGACCAGGAACCACCTTCTGTGCTCCCAAGACTCAGTGGAGGTGAATCGCTAGTAAGTACAGAGCAAATGGAACCATTCACCAGTAAAATAAATAAATCTACACAGAATCCTGTCAGCCCTTCCTACCTGATTCAGTGCATAAGTTTTAACTAAGTTTTCTTTTAAACTGTCTCACTCCTTATAATCAGATTTCCCCCCCCTCCCTTCCCTGCCCCCACTGCAAACTGCAGCAAGAGAATGACAATCTGGCTTTGTCTTGAAACACTCTGAGTCTTTTAGATGATGCTGTCTTGACAGCTCTGCTATTAATAGTGGCATTTTCTCTGCTCTTTAGAAAGGAGAGTTGTGCTGAACTGAGAATCAGTCATGTTAGTAATAATTTTTCACTAAGGGCAAATGCAGTGTACTAGCTTACGTAGGAGGATTTACGTTTACAATACCACGAAACAGAAATTAACTTATTTATGGTATGTCAGCACACATGACAGCAAAATAAGATACCCCTTCTTTAGAAAGAAGTGCAGTAGGGCTGCATTTACTGTATGCTTGGATTATTGTATATGTGAGTGCAAGGCCTGACCTTTTCATTCTACCTGGAGCTGAGAAAAGATTTTGATAAGCACAGGGAACATGAATCAGTAGATGAAATTGTCTCTCTACTGTAAGAAGTGATTAAAAATTCATTTGGACTTCAGCATATGTATTTAGAAAAAATTAGTGGATTTTTGCTCTGTTATGGTAGTGTCTTTTACAGCAAATATTGCTGTTTCCATCCATTTAGCAGCCACTCCACTTTTGGCTCAGATAATCCTAAGAAAACATGAATGGTATGGAAAAGTCATTATTTAAATGTGAGCTCTCATAAGTACTTTAGGAGCTGCAAGTGACACAAGTGATTCAAAAGGTGACCTTTTTTGCAGTAAACTCTTATTGAACCAATTGCCAGTGGAAAATAGATGGCACTGTATTATTCAAGACAAAAATACGAGGCTCTGGAAACTTTCATTCATTAACATGTTAAAATAATTTCATATCAACACACATTCTGCCAATGAACGCTACAGTTTCAATGGGACAAAGCTGAAAAGTCATCTCATCGTAGTGTTTGATTCAGAAAAGAACCTCTTGCAGAGCAGCAGAAGCACATACTCCAGGACAAGCTTCTTTAAAATCTGCAGGTGTTGAGTATGTACTAAGTGTTTATTACAATGGGTATTTTAAGCTCTGCTTTTGGGCTTAGGTTCTTTTCTACTGCATAAACTATTGTCTAGATTGCTGGTCACCTTTTTTCTTTTTTTCTTGATTTACACGATAACTCCACATTTCCAGCTGGAGGGGTAGTCCTCTGGCTAGTGACTTTGATTCTAGGGACTGTAGGCTTGATTTTGTTACTCTTCCCAGAGGGCCTGTCCCCCTTCCTGATGCATTCTCACAGGTTTGTAAATGGCTAGTTTCAGTTTAGAGAATGATTTGCCACACTGTTCAAAATTATTGGCATTCTGTTGAAAAATGAAGAATGTTGGCAATGCCACATACAATTTCACACCAACATAACCTTTCATATAATTTAAGTCTATGAAGGGTTAAAAGAATCTTAAATTATTTTGTAAGCAGCTGTCATAAACAGTCATAGTCTTCTCCATGGTGTTATGGATCATTAAAGCCCATTGCTCTAGGATATATATCATCCCGTTGCCTTGTGTAATGCTTATAATAGTCTGTAGCAGTTTAATAAACAATTGTTAGAAGCACCATAAAAATTGTCACCAGAGAGGTAAGGTATTTTTTATTAAAAAGTCTTGAATGTACATTGTTATTTGAAGTCAGTTCTTTAATTTCTGTTGTCAAAAGAGGATTTATATTTCATGCAATTTAAAGCTTTCTCAGCAAGAATACCTGTTTTGGGGGACCCCATGAAAATTTCCCATCTTTTAAAAATGAGGTGTCTGTAGTTAGAAAGCCACGCTCACTGGCTGATGCATAGTGCCTGATTCCCAAAATTTTGCCCATGCTCCTGGAGCTTCCACTTGGATGTTTCACACCTTTTAGGATTGATCTGTCTTAGAAGAGGTCCCTATGTAAAGTGTGCCTAGAAAGGCCAGGAGTATCCCCTTTAAGCATTTTCTAGTAACCAGTACGTAGCCTGATGATATCTCTGCACACAAAGCACATTATCACACACCAAAAAACTTGGGGACTTGATGGATAGCGAAAGTGAAATGCTATCAGGTTACATAAACCACTGATTGATGAATCATAGTTAATGTCATTTTTTTAGAGGAAAAGACTCCAGAGAGACTTTGAAGCCTTTGAACTGCCAGTCAACCTACAGTACATTTGTTCCTTTAACTTTTCTTAAAGTATGTTCATGAGACAATGTGCCTTGTTAGTGGAAAGCTGACGACCTGAGCACACAACAAATCCCTTTATACTTTAAAAAGGAGGTACTGCCCAAAACCGTATCAGTAGTTTTTAAACTCTTTTTTTTTTTTCCACTTAGGTAATTTATTCTGAAAAGCTATTTTGACAACTGGAACACTTATGTTTTCTAACATTTAAAAATAGAAGTTTGTGTAACAGACTGTCTTCCAGCCTCGTGGCAAATTTTATGAAGACTAATGAATTTTATGTCTTCATAAAGTTTGCCACAAGGCTAGAAGACATGAACCTGTTTTGCTAAAACGGAAGAAAGAAGCAAAATCCCCAAATCCGTACAAGTGGAAATCAATGTGCTAAAATGCTTTCTTAAAAGAGAAACTGTTATGACAGTCTTGCTAGCTTAAATAGATAAATAGTTATGAAAACAGACAACAATTAATGTTTTGCACATAGTCAATATTACCTCCAATGTATGGATCTGAATGCTTGCTATAAATTACGATTAATTGTTCTTGTGTTTCAGGGCTAAAACTTGAGGCGATGAAGGGGGGTGCACAGAGTCGATGGCAGAGCTGAGGATGGAAGACAGATATGAATCTTCATCTAGTCTCTGCTGACATGTACTCTGTTGAGGTGAGAGGAAAGGAAATATTACTGGATAGCCAAACTAAATCTGAATTCAGGTGAATGACAAGAAGAAATGAGAAGAAGGTTTTGTGCCTCTCTCTGTTTCTGCATATACAGGGATAAGGACTACACCACTTTCTGTGCTAAAGGCAGATGGGTGCTTCCCTACCTGACTTGAGTAGCTCAAGCTCTTACCTATTAGTCTCTTCACTGGCCAGTAAAATGAGAACTTGTGACTCCCCACGATTTACCTCAGTCTAATATAAACATTGCCAGAAGAAATACATTTTTTGATTGAAGGAGGATCAGTTAAATTATTATGTCTTTCTGTATTTTGCATCCTTCCTCTCAGTCTTCTGAGTGAGTAGGTTCCCAAAACATCTTGAGAGGGGTTTTTTGCTTTGTGCAGATGTTGTGACCTCTATGAGCAGCTGAAAGAAGAGAAAATGTTGTAAAGGACCCTGTCCTGTGAGGTTTCCAGACAGTTTTGCTGGTCTGTTCAAAGGTTTAACTTTGCAGTGAAGTCTTTGGAGTGTATACCCAGACCAGGGCACAACCCTGAGAAGAAAATTCTGTGTTGCCTGTGTTAGAAATTCTCTCCTTTAGCCTCCATTTAACTGAGAGCTGCATGGCTATTCAACTATCACAGCTTTGGATGGCCACTGTCCCCATCACTACTAGTGAGGGGTAAAATTCCAAGATCCTTTGTGTTTCCTGCAGTGGAGAAGCAGATCTCAGGAGATACAACTGAAAAAACCCCATGGTTTCAGACATTGCTTGGATTGTGGTCCAGCTCTGAACTGATAGGGAAATGATAGTGAACCCAATCTATGTGACGACATCCTTATCTGGGTTGCCATGCCATGTCCTATGGGATATGCAACCCATGACTGCTGCTGTGGTCAGTTCTGTGGAGACATAGCTCAAATTTCCACCTTTTCCTGGATTATTTACGTTTGTGGTTGCTCACAACCGCAGTGCTGGGAAAGAGCTACTTAGTTCTCCATGTTTCCAAAGTCAGATATTGTATTTAGAGTGTATTTAGGCCTATTTTTGGTAGGTAACTCATGGTTATATATAATGTTTAGACTAGGACCAATAATTTTACATCAACTCTGCATTTTTTGTGGAGAACTTCTGCTGATTTCCTTAAGAACACCATTTATCCATTTGAATTTCCTGCTTGCATAAACAATGGTGAGGGGCTCCTTATCTTAGACTGGGAGCTGCTGGCTGGCAGACTTTTTTGTTTCTTGGCCAAGATGAGTAGATCTAGAATGACAAGTAGAGATAACCAGGACAGGTGTTATCTGACCTGATTTTTATCTGTCTAAAAGTTAGTTACCTAGAATATGCTAGCTCTCTAGACTTTCAAATAAAAGGGAAGAAAGAAGCACCTCCAGAGACCGTTTCCTCCCACTTATTTTAGACAGCTGTCTTAAGATGGGATAAATTACTCTCTGGAAATATCTGACTCTATCTAATGCCTATTGTGAGACTCTAGATGAGGATCTTCAACAAAACTACTTGCTAAGAATAGGATGTACCTGATTCTATACAAATACTTGACTCTCAAGGTATTTTCCTTATAATGAAGCATTAGAATGATTAGAGCACCCCCTCAAACAGAATCTGTCCAGACAGAAAAAAATACTTGTAGTCTCAGTTTTTCAAGTGGTGGACTGATAATGCAGGAAGCAGTGAACTTTGTGCAAATATAGCTTTTAGAAGGAATCCCATGAATGTGGGAACTCAATATGCTAAGACATCATAGACCCTCTCTAGTGCTGTATTATCTGTGAATTAATCACTACACAGAAAAATACTGGATTTCATACACACTGAATTTTACATAAATTTACTGAATGTTACTGAACTGTGCATTTGTGAACATATCATCATTTCAGATCTCTACTCCTGGGGTTTTTTTGGGTTTTTTTTGGGAAGTATTTCCTTTGTACATGTTGCTGATCACTGGCAAATGGCTGGCAGTGATTCCTTACCTTTGTTCAGTACACCACCACCGCCACTGCTGAAGGCTGTGTGCTGAAACAAAAGCAGGTTATACAGGTCACAATCTGCACACTAGGTGCTTCCCAGTGTCACCTAACCCCATTCAAACACTGAAAATTCACAGAAGTCCCAGGTATGTGCCTTATGGGTGTATTCCTTCAGGCACTTTTTTATGCACACAGACCGTGCAAGTAGGCTACAATTACCTCCTTTAAGATTGAGAATGCTCGCTTACCCCAAAAATGTTCCCCCAACATCCTTTAGCTTCCAAAAAGCCTGAAAAAAAGCTCTGTCAGTCAAGTAAGAATTAAAATACATCTATTTTCAGTCTAATATTTTTTCCTGGGAAAGCACTGTTTTCATAGGAATGATTTCTTTCATTATTCCTGTAAGAGAATGAAAATGAATAATTCCTTCCTCCGGGACTGTGGAACCAAATGTATGTATACTAACCTATGTTCATTTGTAAGCAGAAGTCTCTATGACACGTTCTGTATGAAGCTAAGACTGATATAATTCCAATAGTACTTCCTTTCTCATCGTGCTACAGAAAAATAGAACACCAGAGAGAAGGTGTGAACGTAGACAATCCTTGGGAAAACTCTTGTTAGTGTGTGTATGTTTTTCTGTGTCTGTGTGAGCCTGTGTCCAAAGGAACACGCCCTTGAAACATCTCTCTCTTCATTTTGATCTTAAAGATGAACCAAGTTTATACTTATGCACATCAGTAAGTGAAATTCTTTTGTCTTCTCTGAATGTTCAGCACGTAAGTGCCTACTTTAAAGCATTTTGCGAATATGCTAATATGAATTAGCCAAAATCGAGTGCTATGTATAAGAGTAAATATTTTATAATGGGCAGTTCCAAATCTTTGGAAAAAGGCATTTAAACCTCAAAAGTCAGCTGAGATAAGCTGATACATGCAGTAATTAAAGCCATCATCCTGAAGAGGTACTTCAGCTTTTAAAAAGATAATACTTTTTTTTTCTTCTTCGCATTTATTATTTTTTCTTTTCAAGAGGAAAGAGGGCACTTATTTGTTTACCATTTCCAAAATGCACAATACTGATAATGAACTCTAGGGGAAATTTTAAAAGGAAAGTTCTCTAATGTGGAGCTAGAAAATCATATGATAGTAGACACAAAATATAAATCACTTAAACTGCCATCGGGTTATTTTTTTTTCTGACAGGGAGATAAGTATTTAAAACAAAATGTTAAGTGCATGCCATAAGGAGGTGTTTATTTGACTGGAATTTTTGCTTTCCATTTCTTGTAATTCCTTTGCTGGATCTGAATCTTCAACCTTACTCACCCTGAGCAGAAATTATTTTTTATCAAAATAATCCTACTTAGACTGTAAAATTACTGTCCTGTATGTGATATTAGTATGACTTTCTCTCTCATGAAAGTTTACTTAATGGTTATTTATTTAATAATTATTTAAAACTCCGGACAATGGCTTTTATTTCACTGGTTTGCTTATTTCCTGTAGATACTGAAAATACCTCACGCATTTCAGAAACTCACTTTTAAATATTTATGATGGATAAGGAGATTTGAAAATAGAGATCTCTGTAGATAAAGTCATTTTCACATATTGGAAGCATGTTAACAGATATTAACTTGAGAAATTTTCTAGTGTGTGAGAACTGAGAAAACATGGTCTCAGAAATTTACAATTAGGAACTTTTATTCTAAGAAATAACAGGGAAAGATGCCTTACCTCATGCTCCGGTGCAGCACTGAGCAGGCCAGGTTCCTCAGCCAGCAGTGGGCTGTAAGACATCAGCAGGGGCCCTACAAAAATTTTTTAGTACAGCGGCAAGTTTTTGAGAGAAAAACATACTGCGTAATACAAAATCCAAGTATCTTGCTGGTGTGTTATTTCCCCCTCCCAGCAGCGTAACCACATATCGGGTATGTGTCAGTCCGGGGAGGTTTTTCAGGAAGGCTGGATGCTCCCTCAGAAAGCTGAGAAACACTGCCCTGGAAGCTGTGCTCAAAGCCAGGCTTTCATTAATCCAAATCCCACCTTCACCACACTTTTAGACCTTGCCTTTAGGCTTTTCATGTCCCTTAGGAGTTATTTCTGTGAGGGAGACAAACACAGGTGTCAAGAGACTTATGGGCACAGATGAAACTTGCTTCAGCACCGGTTCTTGAAGGTGTATCTGCTGATTCTTAGATCTGAATGCCTACCATTTGATCAAAGTCACATTATGTCTTCTTGTCACATTAGCTAGAACTATTTATGCTTGGTCAAACTACTCTCTGATTTTGTAATGTCCAGTAATCAGTAACTAGTAGCCTGTAGGACAACCACAAGGGCTGTGTGTCTAATGGTGGCTTTTTTATCTGGCACTTTTGCATGGTGAATTGTCATCATTCAACAAAAGTCTCAAAGGAGAGGGTGCTCCTAGTGAATGTCACAGGGCCAAATGATTAGGATCTTTGCCCCCTTCTGGAATTAACAACTCCCCAGTTATAAAGTAAGTGATTAAACATGGATACCTCAAAAACAGATCCAAAAAGGCTGTTATGGTGAGGAGAAACACTGAAGACCAGCAACTGGGAATGCTGAGAAGAGCAATATTGTGACTCTCTGCTTCAGAGGCTGAGGTCATTTTCTCCACTTTTGGTTCAGACCCAATAGTTCTGCCCTACAGCTGAGCCTCCAAGTGTTTTATACCAGCTGGGAAGGGCTACGCTTTCTTCCAGATCATTCCAAGACAGCAAGAAGAGTCCAACGATTATGCCTGCACTGCTTTCCACCCACTAACTCAGGGCTTAAACACCCACCCAAGACCTGAGAAACACAAACTCATTCCCCTCTTCCAGTTTGACCTTGTGTCACCCTTCCCTAGGACACCGCCTGGTCTGTACATCTACACAGTTTTGTGCACTCTTAATGTCAGCACTTCATGCTCAGCGGTCTGACAGCTGTAGCTCTTGGCTTAATTTTTTTCTAATGAAGTATTCAGGCTGCATTCAGCACAAATTCTTGGGTTAATTTTTAACTATTTAGAATAAAAGTCAAAGTTTAAGCGTACAATATCAGTCATCGCTTCTGAAAACCTTTTAAAAACTGTAAGTACCTAATTGTTTTGCCATGAGAATATTTTCCTTTGTCTCACTCTACCATTAGGGTAATTGCATTTGAGTAACAGTTTGAACTGTGCCTAGTTAAACAAGATTTTAAAATGCTTTTTTGCAACTGGAAAAATAAATTGGTTAAAAATTCTGATGCTATGATTGCCCTCTGATTGGTTACCTCCTGTGATTTTTAATCCTGTTTGTAAACAAAACAGGGACTTATCATTTTATCCATGTGAAGAAGCTGAGCCAAATGGAAGATGCATTGAAAATAGGATGTCCCCCAGGGACTCAGGCAAGGCAACTTACAGAATATTGTTTCATAGATGCTTAAATCCAGATATTTTTGTGCTTTTGTTCTCCTTTTTATTGGTTAGCTAAGGTGAAGTGTGGTTTAAAACTATATCCTCCCTTCTCATGCTCTTGGCTCCACTTTCCTACCCTTTTGCTTGTGTGGATCTGACACTTGTTGAACCATTCTGCGGAACAAATTGGCTCACTACCTGGAAAGCAATCTTTTTGCTGCATTAAATTTCTGACTGTTTAGTGAGTTAAAGAGGTTTCCAGAAGAGTGTGGAGAGCCCTAGAGTGGAAGCAAGATAAGCAACAGGAATGCACAACAGCGAGTAGGAAGATGGGAGAAGGGAGTAGGAACAGTATTGGTTCATCTTTAGGCACAGACAGGGTAGACTGAGTTCTAACCTGGATTTAAAATGTGGTGTAAATGCACCTGAGTTGAGTTATGCACCAACATCTCTCTGATAATCTAGGCTGTCGGTCTTTGCTGGCATCAGTTCCATTTCACCCAGTGTGACCACAAAAATATTTTAAAGCTGAGGAAAACAACCTCGGGAGCATAGCTGGAAATAATAGTTCTGTCTATTTTGTTATTCAATTAATACTCTTACTAGTCTTCCCAGTAAAAAATGGATTGAAATGCATGTTTTCCACACATTTAAAGATTTGCAGGAATAATAAGTAGAGGCAAACGTTGCCTTTTTGTCATCTGTAATTGTATGTGGGGCAGTCTGATGTTTCTGATGCCCCAAGAGAAACTTGGGCAGGGGTTTCTGGCTGGTTTCTTTTAGTACCAGAAGGGAAAAACCTGTAATTAGGCAGATGATGTTCCCTGTGTATGTTAGTGTGCTGGGTTGACCTTGGCTTGATGCCAGGTGTTCACCAAGCTGCTCTATCACTCTCCTTCCCAGCAGGACAGAGTGGTGAAAATAAGTTCAAAAAAGCCATGTGGGTCAAGATAGAGGTAGTTTAATAAAGCTGAAGCAAAAGCCCTGTGTGGAAGCCAAGGAAAACAAAAGCAGGTGATGTCCATCCACTTTCTGGGAAGTAGCGTTTCAGTACATGCAGCAGTGTCTCCAGAAGATAAACATCGTAGTAACAAATGCCCGACCCCTTCTCCTTTCTCTTAGCTTTTATTGCTGAGCAGACATCATATGGTATGGAATATCCCTTTGGTCACTTTAGGTCAGCTGTCCTGGCTGTGTCCCATCCCAAGATCTTGCTCACCCCCAGCCTGCTGGTGGTGGTGGTGGGGGATGTTGGAGAGACATACTTGATGCTGTGTGAGCTCTGCTCAGCCGTAGCCAAAACACTGGTTTGTTATCAAGACCTTTCTAGCTACTAATACAAAGCACAGCACTATGTGCTTGGGGATAATTAACTCCATCTCAGCCAGAACCAATGCAGTAAATGAAATGAAGGGACTGACGCAGTAAGAGGCAGAATCCTACTTCCAAGTCCTAGGAGCAGAAGAGGACAACTTCTAGAAGCAGAAGAGGATAGACACAGGGGACCACAATCTTTGTTCTGTTGCTCACCTTCTGGCTTCACAGCTGTGCTACGGTCTGCATGAAGTAGTATTAATGTAAGGCATAAAAGATCCCCTGGATATAAACATCTATGTCTAATTGCAAAGACAATGCAAAGCTGTATAAGCACAGTTTAGTACTGGTGATTGGACACAGTTTGTGTAAGCATCTTTAAGCAAAGCAGAAATGCAAATTATTTATATATCATAATTAATTGCCCAATTTGCTGACCACCTGCACTTAATTGTAAGGTAAATTTCCAGGAATGCTATAATAATGTGTTACACTTTTAGAGACTAAAAATGAGGAGGAAATTGTAGAAGGAGTTAATGCATATGAATTTGCCAGGGATCGAGTTAGTTAAGAAATACATTTAAGAGGATTAACATTGTTGTAGAAATTAGTGTTTGAAGAGATTGACTGGGGGGGTGGGGGTGGTGTCGGGTTGAAGAATGTGGAAGGCAATTGAGTCCTATTGGTGGCTTGTCAAAGACAGCTTGTTTCCCAGCCATGGTTTCATGAAGTGGAAAACATAGAGAAGAGCAGGTGCCTCAAGATCAACCTTGAAAAGTGCATCCAGGACAAAAAAGAGGAAATTAACCCATATCCATCCTAATTGTAAGGTAGGGCTCTGACTTGCACTGGTTTTCTGCAGCTTACCTCATCAGGCAGCAGGGAATTGTATTGAATAACTTTGTTAAATCAAGCCTTTGTGGCAGTCCTTGGAGATAAACCTTTAACCTGGTGTTCTCCATGTTTAAGTCATCATGCCAACCCTCAGATGTGTAGGGACTTTTACAGGTAAGTGTATTTCAAGTCCCTGGAATATATTGCTCCTTCTTTCAACACATTTTTGGGAAATGTGTAAGATGTGTAAGCAAGCAGGTGGCTTAGCACTACCACAAGCTTTATCAAGTCGAGATGGGGACGACTAAAAGCAGGCAGACAAATAAAGAGGGGTGTTTTGACAAATCTTGTGAGGGGGAAGCAGAACGGAGTCTGGTTTGTTTCCATTTAGAATTTAAGTTAGTCTGGTGGTTTGGGTTATATTTTTTTCTCCTTCTAATTTTAATGCCAAGAGATTAGTCAGTTTCTATTAAAATTAACAAATTTACACTGATACCAGTGGAAGAGGGGAGGACTCAAGAGAAAATGCAGAGCAGAACTAAATGTCCTTTCTAAGGCTAACAAGGACAGGCATAGTAAATAAAGACCATGGAGACAGGTATACGTCAGTCAAACATACAAGTCTTCATAGTCCTGTCTATCACAGTGTTCAGTATCAAATGTTTGTGAAGAGGGCTGAAAAGCTGTATTACAGACAAACTGGTTTGCCCTCAGAAAGTCTCTCTTCTCTGTTCTTTGCTTTCTGGTTGCATGCTGCTTTCAGTCAGTCTGATGAGAAATACCTACTGTTACATTTTTGACATTCACATGTCAAATTTTCTTGATTAGAATAAAGTGTATAGGCTTGTAATCCAGTTTTGTTGAAATCCAGTTTGCAATTATTTAAGGAAGACACTCAAGAATCAAATATCTTAGGAGAAATCAGATTTTTTACAAACATGGGACAAAAATGTTTCTTTTTTTCTTTTGTCCTTTTCAATACTGTAATGGGATCACTACACAGACTCAGAAACAGACATTGGGATCCATTAAAAAAGGCAACATGAAGGAAGCTGAGAAGCCACGTGCAGAGGAAAAATTCTGCTGCATTTCCAAGCTGAAGGTACAGAAATATTTTAGCAATTTTGTATGAACCACAACTGTAAATGCTTGCACTGATAGTGGCTTGGTAGAAGTTACAATCTAAACTAAATGAATGAATAAGCTCTGTTTCTCTCCTTATCCTTAATGGCTTACCTGAAGTCAAGCAAGTTTGTAAGAAATCATGTTAGTTTTTATGTTCCCGGACTTTACACTCTGGGATGTGTTAGAGGTATGGTTGGTTGCTTCTTTGAAGTTCCACCTCTGAATTTGTGTAATCCCCCTAGTCTGACATGTTTACCATTCCTTTTCAAACCTGTGAAATGAGCCTTACCAATTGTGACATTGCAGTAAAAATTGGTCGATGCATCCTAGACTATTCAAGTTGTCAAGAAGCTCTATACAAGGTTGTAAAATAGCATGTTTTTAACAGTAATTCAAAGCCCAAATACATTACTTATGCTTTTTAGCCATTGCAGCAGATATATTTAAAAATACTATTGATTTTATTTAATAAATGCTGTTTATTAAGAATGCTAAAGTTAAACGGATTTGCATAGTGCTACATCTATTCATATTTATTTTTTTACTCTCAAATGCCACTCTATTCTTGTACGAAGGATACCCATTTACTACTTTTATTTGAAATTACTTATTCTGGGCTCATGATCTCTACTGAGGTGGGAGAGCAGATACTCTATCAAGTAATTTGATCAAAGTTCTGCCAGTAACTTACCATTCAGGTGAGCAAAGGGCGTGAAGGTCTTTGCACCCTGGTCTGTCTGCAGACGTCATGAAGTCCTCCAGATGGCAATCGTGCAGCAGACACACGGTGGGAGAGGTTGTGCTGTGCCCATCTTTGCTGGGGAAATGGGGTTTAAGGTTCCTGAAACCTCGGTCAATGTCTCGGTCTCGGTCAATGGGAGCAGGTGAAGAACAAAATCTTTCTTCATTTTTATTTTTTTTTTGTGGTTTAGTGAAGCCATAACTCTTTGGACAAGGATAGATGATGGGATTTGAACTTGTATTTATGCACATATGAGTAGATCAGGACCGTTCACTTGTTTTATCTGGAAGCACATCTTTGATGGGAAAAATATCCATGGAATATTCCTAAATATATAACTTTGAATTCTTTATGCATTCTCCTCTTTCCTTCCTAGGTGTTTCTGCTGGCACTATCACTTGCATGTGTTGGTAAAACGATGTCTGGTGCTTACATGAACAGCATGTACACACAGATAGAGAAACAATTTAATATTCCGGCTTCCTTAGTGGGGATCATTAATGGAAGTTTTGAAATTGGTAATCACTCATTTTAATATTTTTTATTCTTTTAAAATACAGTATGTTGGCTGAGCATGTATTAGTGACTCTCATGTTCACATCAATCTGTCAATCACTGTATGTGATAGTAGTGATGAACTGTATCCCACCATTGCAGCTGCTACTTACTTATTTACTGTCTTGGAAACTAACAGGACAACTAAAATGAGGAAGTTCAGGATTAAAAGCTGGTTCAGCTAGTTTATGCACTATTGTACAATATGATAGACCAACTAACAAAATACTTTCTGAGCTTTATATTGAATCTTTCAGAACAAAACAGATTTTATAAACTTTGTTTGAATTTGTGGTCATATTTAGCATTTTACAGTGACCTCAAAGGTGGTTGGAGTGGATTGTCTCTTTATTCAAACTCACTAATATTTCTAGATTTTGTACCTGTACAACTGTAAAGAAAGTTTCCAGTTCTACTTTTAGTGATCCTTACCTTGTGTGTCAGTGAGTTTTATTGCCCAGTGAGAAGTTTATGCCTTGCTGTTGCCAAAAAAGCCAAACAAAAGGCTTGATAGCTTCAAACCCTTCTATGTAGCGATCCTCAGAGGATGTGTATTATACCCTGGATCTTTATTATCCCTGGATCACCTGAGGAAATGGCCTGCACAGGCTCATATATATGATAAGGAAGGGAGACAAGGTTCCTTTTCTTCCTTTCCCTGGTCTCCTATATCTGCATGGGCAAGAAGAAGAAACTGCTGGCAACACCATCCTGCTGTCTGCAAAGTAGTCTGACGGGGCAGCTCAAGGTTATGCTAGAGAAGGAACACCCAGAATATATTCTTGCTTTTGATAAGGAGGAGGAGACTCTAAGAAATATGAAATTTCCAAGATTAATGAAGTGGTATGTAAAAGGCTTAGTATTTTAAATAAATTATCCTCTCATATACACTTTTCTATAACAAGTTTTGGTATTCTTATCTCCAAGAATGTAAAATAACTGTGAATAATTGTATTAATATTTGAAATGATCAAGAGTCGGCGTTATGTGCTAGACATAAGTAACTTATTAGGGCTGTGTAAATGTACATCTTTAAGTGTCATTCAAGCCACTGGTTCAGTACAGTTTACCTAACAATCACACATGAAAAAAAGATGCTATCTTCTTTCAGAGCATGATGCTCATCACTCAGAGATATGGTTTTGTTCTTTTGACAAAGAGATCACAAAATTAGTATGTGTATGATTGCTAAATTGTTATTTTTATGGGGACTGATTCATAACATGAAGCTTGATTCTTTTCTTAGTTGCATAGCAATAAACGAAAAGTAGAGAAAATCAACTGATTCTGAAGTGAAAGTGGATGAGAAGAGAATGAAGATTTTTAGCACATTTGTATTTTTAAATGGTACTAGGTGCAAAAGTCTGCATTTTTTTATTCCTCTCAAACTTTTACTGAAATAAATATTAATTTATTATTCCTTTCTTCTCTGTATGTCATCTTATGCTTATTATTTTCAGCACAAAAATACTTGCGTGTATAATTCTGTATTTTCCCAGAGATTGCAAAATAGAGTATCCTAGGAAAGTAACTTCCTAAACCAGCCATTACTCTGCAGCCCATTGCAGTGGGAAATTTCTTCTCTACATAGGTGCAGTCAAAAATCTCTTTCACCATGATCTCTTTTCCATTCTGCCTTCTATTCACACGTTCTCTTCACGTGGTGTAACTCTCCCAGAAAAAGATCACAGATGGGGGGAATGACTGCACCATTTAGGCAGTTCCTGTCTAGTTACAGTTTTGTACAAGACAGGAGAAGTACCAGATGTTGAGCTAACAGATGTTGAGGTATATTCAAATCTGTGTTGCACTTCATCTCTTTTAAAGGACACCTTGATTTGTAAATATGAACAAGGTTCTTTTTGCAGGCAACTTGCTGCTGATGGCATTTGTGAGTTACTTTGGAGCAAAGCTTCACAGACCCAAAATAATTGCTTTGGGCTGCACAGTTCTGTCATTTGGATGCCTTTTGATATCACTTCCTCATTTCCTATTTGGAAGGTGAGTATTTTCCTTAGCTCACAGCAGTTTCTGTGACCCTTACCTGCCTAAATCCATAACTTCTCCCCCTGAAATAGTTTTGCTTATTGAGAGAGACATTACTGAGCATGGCTAAGGTATGATAATTGTAGAGAAGCTTCTTTTGTTTCGTTTCTGAGATGACTTCAAAAGTCACTCATCACTTCCTGAGGAGAGTCACCCCTGTGCTGGGTGCGTTGCCTTGCCTTCCTCCTTGTGCTAACTCTTGTGTGGACTTTCTGAAGAAACTATGTGACTTTGAGACTGTCATGTTACTCTACTAGCTCTTATCTGCTTGGATGGGCAATACAAGATGATGTTCAAAGATGTCTTTGGTCTGGAGCCTGGATGACAGATCATACCCAATCACTGCGTTGGCAAGGCCTTTACAGATCATAATGATTTTTTAACCACTTTTTCACTATTTTTTTGCTTGTCATAACAAAATAATCATTTAAGCTTGTCTATAGTTTAAACAGTGACATATCTTTTGAGAAAAGATTATCTTATCTTGTTGTACCCAATGTGGTATGGCTCTAACAGCCTTGGTGGCACCACCTGCTTGGGGTGTAAATTGGAGGGATTTCATTAGGGTGTTTCATCAACCTCTCCTGAAGCATCTGTTGCAATATTATGTTAGAGGGTAGATAACAGTATGGCTAAAACACTGGGTTGGTTCCCTGCTACAGTTGCTGTGTTCCTAGCCTGGTTTGTTACTGTGGCTCTGTTAACTTTGGATGGGGACTTCCTTTGACCTATAGCTACACACTCTTCTTATAGGTAACTTCATTACTGAAGTACAAATTTATGAGGCAGTTCTGATATATTTCTTCTTAACCTATGCATGCTTTCCTTTGAATCAAATAGGTATCGTATTGAAAGCAGTATTTCACCACATGAGAATTTTTCAGTCATGCCTCTCTGCCTTGTTAATCAAAGCTTGTTCTCTTTACCTACAGAGGAACCATCAACAGGTATGACTTTTCCTATGTCTTCTAATACTTCTTCTTTAGTTTTTACAGTGTTCAAGTAAATATTGTTTTATTTTTATTAGCAATTATTCCAGGCTTCTGCTTTTGATCAGTACTTTTTGCAGGCATAAAAACTAGAGGTCAGGAAATTTCCTTGCCTTTTTGCTTCTTTAGTCTGTGACTTCAGGGCTGTAGCTTTTTTTCATGCAGTTTTCCCAATATCCAAGTAACTTGTTTAACATTGCTGTTAGTCCACTTTGGGGAAATAGAGCACCAGGTTGTTCTCACAAATGTTCCTCTTTTTGACTTGAAATACTATGATGCTGTGCGGGGGTGGGAAACATCTTTGGACAATGAGTAAAACTCATGAGGATGCTTTTTCGTTGTGCCATACAAGAAATAAAAGAATGAGAAACAGAGCAAAAAAGTGGATTCCACTTCCTTTTAGAGAAGAGAGAAAAGAGTTTAATCTAGGCTGAAACTTATCTAGGAGACTTGAAAATTTTATGTGCACTAGCAATATGCATGTAAAGTAACTTCTATGAAATAAGAAGGTTCAGGGGCAACTATTAAATGATAACACACGAAATCCTCACATTGAGGTCGGGATTAATGTCCTGAGTGTTGAGCTACCTCAAAGGGAAGCATTTAGTCTGAACCATCTCTTTAGGCTCCCTTGATAGTTGGCCAAAAGAGACTACAGAGCTTTTGCAGCGTGTCACTGGCTGTAAAGACATTCATGCTCTTTACTTTAGGGTGGGTCAGATTACCTCCTGGGTGCAGCTACTGTTGGAAAGTTAGGTGGTTGGTGGATGGCAAAAGTTAGGTGAGATGAATCCCACAGTCCATTGTTATATCTTGTGATGGTATTCATCAGTGCGTGCTAAAGCTGAATCACACTGTTGTAATATTGTATGTACGCAGTGACATTTGTACTGTAGTTTTCTGTGTTTCCATTTAGAAACTTGGCTTCCAAGCTTTCTAAACTGCATGTCACTTCAGACATTAATTTCTCCATCTTCATAATGAAAAATGGAGAAGAGGGGGGGACAGGCAGTCGGGGGGCGGGGAGGAGGAGGTGACCCCCCAGGGGAGGAGAGCAGTTGGGGGCTCCCAGGGTGCGCTCGGCGGCGAGTGGCGATATCGTCATTGCGGTTGTATATCCCTCTGTTCTTGCTGTTGTTATTTCTTGCTCCCTTTCCTGTTCTGTTAAAATTGCCTTTGTCTCAACCCATGAGTTTTTTGCCTTTTTATTTCGATTTTCCCTCCCGGCCATGTGGCCGTGTGGGCTCTGTTCTGCGTGAGCAGCTGCACATCATAGTCCTTTGTTGCCTGATTTTCCCTCCCGGCCATGTGGCTGTGGGGGCTCTGTTCTGCGCGAGCAGCTGCACATCATAGTCCTTTGTTGCCGTCTGAGGCCAAACCACGACAATTGGTAAAACATTTTCTTCTAAATGAGATAGCCATTCGATGTACACACTAGAACCCATAGCTCCTGAAGTCTTTGACTGAACTTGGGCAAGGTGATTCCCTATGAGTTTATGGAGAAGCGAAACCGTGATGTTCATACATATGAGTCCATCTCCTGCGTGATGCAGAAGCTGGTTTGAATTTGACCACATCTGTGTGTGGATTGCTTCACCCATGTTTGCTGACAGCAATCTGACAATGATACAGGAGATCCACACTTGATCTCTGAACACTAATGCTTTCATTTACAATGTCATCAGTTGCAACTAACAAAGATGTTTTTTCATTTGTTACCAAATTGGCACTGGGAAGTCTCAGCATGACAAAGTGGGCCACAGAGAACAGTGGAATCGGAAGCAGACTGTATGGGATGAAGAAATCCAAGGTCAGGGAGAGAAAGAAAGTACTAAACATCATAATAGTTCTTGATATAACTGTCCTGATGTGGGACAAACACGACTGTGCTTCAGGAAAGTATTCTTCTGCTGAGTTATTTTGGAGGACGGGGTGAATAAATGAGAACTTGATCCTCAGATAGATTCAGGAGGCTGGCCAGATACATTCTTATGGATCTTGATTTTGATAGAAAGTTTTATTAAGGTCACAGTGAGTCAGAGACTTCCTCAGTGCAGTGCCCAGATGGGCAGATTTTGGGCTATGTTCCAGTGGGTGCCTGCTTAGAGAAACACTAACCTTCTGAGCTGCAGAGGTATGATGGAGGTAGAAGACCTTTCTGTAATGTTTGGTGACGTGCGCCAGTTATGATAGACTTTGTATATTATTTGCCATGTGGATTTCTTCACCCATGTTTGCTGACAGCGATACAGGAGATCCACACTTGATCTCTGAACACTAATGCTTTCATTTACAATGTCATCAGTTGCAACTAACAAAGATGTTTTTTCATTTGTTACCAAATTGGCACTGGGAAGTCTCAGCATGACAAAGTGGGCCACAGAGAACAGTGGAATCGGAAGCAGACTGTATGGGATGAAGAAATCCAAGGTCAGGGAGAGAAAGAAAGTACTAAACATCATAATAGTTCTTGATATAACTGTCCTGATGTGGGACAAACACGACTGTGCTGCAGCAAAGTATTCTTCTGCTAAGTTATTTTGGAGGACAGGGTGAATAAATGAGAATTTGATCCTCAGATAGATTCAGGAGGCTGGCCAGATACATTCTTATGGATCTTGATTTTGATAGAGAGTTTTATTAAGGTCACAGTGAGCCAGAGACTTCCTCAGTGCAGTGCCCAGATGGGCAGATTTTGGGCTATGTTCCAGTGGGTGCCTGCTTAGAGAAACACTAACCTTCTGAGCTGCAGAGGTATGATGGAGGTAGAAGACCTTTCTGTAATGTTTGGTGACGTGTGCCAGTTATGATAGACTTTGTATATTATTTGCCAAATCAGAATTTGCATTGTCCTCAAGATGTCCCAAATCTGAAATTCAATACCTGAACAGATAGCATCAGGACAGGTGAAATTTCTGGATGGGGAGGTCATTGATACACAAGGCAAAAGTCTGTAGTGCCAGAAAAGAGCTTTGAGGTAAGGATCTAAACTGGGGTTTCCAGGTGGTGAGGACTGTTGTACGGTTGAAGTTACCAGCAAAGAACCAATGGTTTAGACACAGACAAATGTACTCTCCATGTGCTTTTCTGGGGGCTTATGAACATTACTGAACCAGAAGCTAGCAGTCTGAATCAAGGCAAAGAAGCTGGAAAGCTGAGAAATCTCATTCCATGCAAAGGTACAACATCACCACATCTGTGCTGGCATGGCTTTCTTAGAAGCAAATGGTGGCACCTCACTGTGAAATCAGGAACTCTTCTGGTTTATTTCAGACAATGTTCTTATAAACAAAAGGCAATGTATGGGCTTTATGCAGCAATTACCTGAATCATTGCAAAAGATTCCTGAATTTCAGAGAGATGGTCATACTGTTCTTGCTAGCCCACTCTTCCAGATTGTCCAGGTCTCTCTGTAAGATAGCTCTCCCTCCTGATTTGTCCACCTTACCACCTAGTTCGGTGTCAGCAGCAAACTTAGTGAGGCCACTTTTAATCCCATCATCCAGACTATTTATGAAGATGTTGAATAGTATGGGGACCAGTACTGGTCCCTGGGGGACCGCACTTGTGACCCACCAAAGTTTAAGCAGTTAGTCAATTCTTTGTGTCTAGAATTTAATTGATATTTAGAATTAAAACATTAATTCTGGCTTCTTATTTTATTCACAGAGTGTGAAAAAGAGCCTGGGTCCTTGCTGTGGATATTTGTGATGGTTGGAAACATAGTACGAGGAATGGGTGAAACTCCCATCATGCCTTTAGGCATCTCATATTTGGAAGATTTTGCCAAAGCAGAGAATTCACCTTTCTACCTGGGTAAATCTGTCCTATTGTGATAACGCCCCTCCCCCCAAAAACCACACACATAAACAAAAGCAAAAGAGCGAGATCTTATGAATCCCTTTGGTCCAATAAAGGAAGGGAGAAGACAGACATTACTGCCTTATCAAAATAATACTATAGAACTTGTAATTTAACTAAAGATAAACTTTTTGAAATGAGGCCATTTTTAGGTGCAAATGTCTGTTTAGTAGAGCTGTCCTAAACATATACAACAATTCCAAGAAAATAATTACATCCGTGTTCTAATTTTGCATGTTTTCTCCTTTTCATACTTTAGGATGTCTACATACAGCAACTGTAATTGGCCCCTTCCTTGGTTTCTTGTTGGCATCATTCTGTGCGGAAGTGTTTGTTGATCTGGGATCAGTAGATGCAGGTAATGGATGAATATATAAAATCTTACATATAAATCAGTAGGCATGATGTTGTATTTATCAGCACTAAAAGATGTTTCTTTGCTGATAGGAGGTGTCTTAATTTTATCCGAGTTTGCTGGTGTTACTTTTAGAATGGAAAATCTGTGTATAATTCAATTCAATAAAAGGCTTGAATTCTCACATGCAAAAATGAATCTGCATGTAAATTATTTGATGAACAATTGTGCCATCTGGCTTAACATAGAAAAGCACTAGAATTAATTTAATACAAAACACTGAGATTTGCCAGAAAATTAGCAGCATTAGAAAAGAAGACTGGAGACTCCTCTCTTTCATGAGCCTCATTTTAAGAATCTTTAAAATGCTTTTAATATATCACATGTCAGAGATGACTAAGAAAATACAGAATGACAGCAATTAATATTTCTGAACTAATATAAGATGTTTGGTATTGTTCTTTCTTTGTTTGTTTTTATAGAGGACATAACTATAACAGCTACTGATGCCCGCTGGGTTGGAGCTTGGTGGCTGGGCATTTTGATTTGTGCATCACTGAACCTTCTTGCAGGAATACCTTTTTGGTTTTTCCCCAAGTCACTTTTGAAGGAAGGAGAAAGCAATGAACCTGAGCAGATGAGTAAAAAAAGTGTAGTACTATTGCAAGAAAATGGTAAAAATGAAGCCAAACAGACCATGTATGAAATTGCTAAAGGCAAGTTATATTGTATTTTATTTCCTTCTTAGTTTAGTCCTGAAGATGTGAGCTATGTCTGTGTATTTTTGTAAGTAAAGATGAGTCCAAGTTATGAAATGCATACTCTGTTTTTCATCTCTATGTAGTGCAAAGGATTTGTGCAGAGATTTAGAATGGCTTCTCGCAGGGGAAAAAAGCTAATTTCATAGTTCCAGGATCTGTATTAACTCCTTTCCTGTTCCTGCATTTCAAGCATATGTAGGTCTGGATCTTTTCTTTCTGGTAGAGGATTAATGCACTGAAATCTGGTTAAGAACATTACACCTCAGTGAGCTGTGCACAAATTGCAGATATTAATTGCTTGTACCCAGCATTCACTGGGCAGGAAAGCAGCACAATTCTTGTGCGTTTCTTAAGTCCAAATTAAAGCCATAAAAGGGAATTGACAGGTGCTTAAGTGTCTTATAAACACTTAATGACCATTGAACAGGGATCTATCTGACTTACCTTTATTCATGTTACTGTTAGCAACATTCACATCTGTGGTCTTTCAGATCTATATGTCTGTAGGAAGCTATTTTTTTCCTTCCATTTTTTGTGTTAGTTGGAAACATAAGTGAATAAAATGTGTCAAAGGCTATGATCTTCAGAGTAGTCTCATGATTCTGTATACCAAGCTCAGGACCCCCTGACAGGTTCTTCATGTTCAGAAAATAAGTGCCAATAAGATACTGAAAGATATATACACCCTTCCCAACTGGTGCTGACTTTCAATGAAGCACAGTTATTGTTTTACAGATGCTTATGTTTTTCTGCACAGTTTCTTGACAATAGCTCAGCACATTAATTGATAGAGAATGTTAGACAAAGAGGAATTGTGGGGTTTTTTTTATGGTTGAGATCCTGACTTAATAGGCATTACACAGAGAAAAGACCTGTGTAAATTAGTTTCTCAGATGCCTACTTGGCTGAAGAGGGGCAGATCCAGACTTTGAGTGAATCTAGACTTTACTGTGGTCACCTCCCTCTTCGGGCCTCTTGTGCCCCATCACTGACACTAGAAATAACCAAAATCAGTGATCAGGTCTCTGGGGGCAGGTTGTCACAGCTATATAGCACGTTTGTGCCCCCTTCCCCTTGTACTCCCTTTGCATCATGCAGGAAATGGGTTTTTGTGAATGCTCTGAGGGCATGGGACAAGAGAAAAAGGAGTGGAAACGCTGGGACAGTGTCTGCTGCAGGTGAAAAGTTCAGCCACAGTATAGCTAAAAAGTTTCAGGAAACTTTTATGACAAGATTATTACTGTGATGTTTTTTAAAGCAGCCGTAGGCATTACTGTGCGTGTGTGTGTATGTGTTTCCTTTGTGTAGAAGAGACATGTTGGGGTAGCCTGGGCTAAACAAATAATCTTTGGACTGTGGTGTCTGGCAAAGCACAAGTTAAGGACCATTTATGTTTCCCCTTTCCCCCTCAGCCACACTGAGCAATGGGTGATTCATTTCATAAAGCATCGCACTAACTTGTCACATTATTTCATTCCAGATTTCATCCCGTTCCTCAAGGCTCTGTTTCGCAACCCAGTTTATATGTTATTTATATGCATAACTGTGTTACAGTTCAGTGCTTTCAATGGCATGGTGTCCTTCATGCCCAAATATTTGGAACAGCAGTTTGGAAAATCTGCATCGGATGCCATCTTTTTAATTGGTACATTTGCATTTTGCTTTGCTGTATTCTGCCAGGTCATGATGTCTCTATGAAACCTTTCTCTATTTATCTGTACATGTACACATATACATACTAAGGTCAAATGCTTCTACAAATGACAGATTCCATATTACACGGAATATTCATGCATTTTCTGCTAAGCATCTTGTGATTTTCTGTGCGGAATTTAATAATATACTTCCCACCTTTTGAAGTGGCCCGGAAAGTTCAGCTGATATAAAACTTGCACCAGCGATCTCAAAAAATGATATGCTAATTTGCATCAAGAGAGCGTGGGTCAAATTATCTTGATTAAAAGTATATTACCTGATTTAAAAGTATGCTATAGAGAGTAGATTTCATGTTCATGAAAATGACATCGCTAGAATTCTTAAGACGTAAATGGGTTGAACCTATGCACAGCTAAAGTTGTCAGTGACCTTTGATACTTTCCATCATCTCCGCTTCTCAGCTATTTGCCTTAGGCCTTCTGAAAGCCTCTTTCATATGCAGAGCTTCATGGAAAGAAAGCACCGACCAAATAGCTCTCTTTTTTTGTCTCTTCTTTATCAGCTTTTTTTTTTTTATGAGTGAGGACAAGGTGTCACGCATTGGGAGATGGTAATGTCGAGTAGTTGTAGCACAAAGCAAACATCCTGAAACTGTAGGAGCCTTTCTATGGCTCCACTTTATCATGTCTTAAATTCTCAGTTCCCTTTTTTTACCTGCAATGACTTAATTAGACTAGAATTTTTCTAATCATTATAGAAGAAACATCTTAAAATACATCTAGCCCTATTTCTAGTCCTTAACTCAGTGCTCAGCTTTCGCAGGAGCTGCACCATTTTCTTTAACACCTGCCGCACAGAATGTCCCAGAACTCATGAGTATTTCTGTTGCCCTTTGTTACCATTGCTTTGAAGCTGTGCATCCAAAGGCATGTCACTATCATACGTCTTGCATTGACGTTGCATTGCTGGGCTGCTTTTCAGACAGCTACTTCCTAAATGTCTTTCAGTCAATCTTTGCTTCATTAAAGTATCAGACAGCAAAGAAGCCTGAGATCACCTTCAGTAATCTCATATCAAAACTGATATGTGATGCTCAGCTTGCACCGAGATGTGCTCCACTACCTTATCTTCCTGTTGAGTTTCTCTCCCAGCTAGGGAGGCTGTATTGAAACCTTGCCTTTTTTTTTTTTTTTTTTTTTTTGGGGGGTTGGTTTTTTTGAATAATTAATTTCCCAGAGGCTTTTCCCTGCTCAAGGGACAGGCAAGTTATTCTGATAACTGATAGGACATCAGCTGCAGAGCTTTTGTGAGAAAATTTTTTTTTTTAAATTGGAATTAGATTGCAACTCTAGATTGCAATTTTCCAATTAATCATTTCAATCTCACCCTCTAGCTCGCTCTCCAGGCAGTTCCCAACTGCTGTTGACTTTGGCAGATGTTTTGGGTGGGCAAGGGAACTACTAGAGACCCATTTCTGACTGTAGTTAAATTATTCAGTCACAGGCACTATATGAATCTTTGTCAAATAGTCTTCCCTTATGAGTAGCTTTGATGATCTCTTTCTTTATTTTAACATGGACGTTTCACTTGTTTGAATAGGTGTTTACAACTTACCAGTTATATGCGTTGGGTATTTTTTTGGAGGCTTATTCATGAAGAAATTCAAGATAAATATCTCTCAGGCTGCGAACATAGCATTTTGGGTATCTTTACTGGAATACCTTCTCTACTTTGCTGCCTATTGGACTATCTGTGATACTTCACCAGTTGCTGGCCTAACAGTTTCCTATGAAGGGTATGTTCCTTAAGACACAAGAGAACTTAAGACACTGGAATGATTTTTCTTGCCAAGAATCAGCCAGGGACTCCACAGTTTTGAAACATTTCAGTTTCATGATCTAAATTCCAAGGATTTTAACTTGCATGAGACAATAGGTCTATCTTCATTATCCCTGTTGTAAACTATAGAGTGTATTAAAAAGTATATCCACATCGACTCATGCCATTGCATGTCCATATTAATTCTTTAACTAATATTAAGTATACGTTCAAGTCATGTAACTGCAGGTAAAAATAAGAAGTTGTTGATCAAATTAGGCATACATGAACGTAATTTTAGAGGTACAAAGGGACAAACCCTTCTCTTTATCTTGTACTGGAATTTGATTGCTATTGAGTTATCAGAGGATATTTTATCTGCAGTTTCTTGATTTGAAGTCTGCCATTAATCATTGAGAGGGTTTGTGTGTCTGTAAAATGCACGTGTAGGTATATGTAATGCTTATAGAAAGTCAAGAGCATACAAGGCATAGATGAAGAAAATGCTGCAGGGTATGTATGAATTGATAACATTAATGTAATGTAGTGTAATATAATACAATATCATATCATACCATACCATATAACATCCTATAGAGAGGTAGAAAGGTATGACTCCAGGATAGGAGCATGTAGGATCCCATTCTGGATCAACACTTGAGCTAGAATAGAATCTTAATCATTACAAAGGACTGCTGTAGGTATTTCATTACTGACATTTTTATTCATCTGCTAAATGTATTTCAGAATAGAGCAAGTTTCATATGCAGAAAATACTCTACTTGCTGACTGCAACAGGGATTGTGATTGCCCTGTTAAAATATGGGACCCTGTTTGTGGGAACAATGGAATCACGTATGTGTCACCTTGTCTTGCTGGATGTAAGGCCTCAAGAGGAACTGGAAAAAGTGTGGTAAAGCATATACTGTATTGTGCTATAAATAAGAAATATACTAGGTGAGAAATATTCATATCAGAAGAGGGTGTGCAATTAATTGGATATATAAAGTGATACATAGAGTTGGACAAATTTATACAGTGGCAACAGAAATTCCAAACTGAATATGAAAATTAGTTTAAGTTTAAATTAAAGAATATAATGAAGGATCCTACTTCTAATAATTGAAGTAATCTTAAATGTTCAAAATGGAATGAGAAATTATTCTCAAGGTATTGCCAGTTATAAACCTAAGTGAATATTTCAGCCAAAATGAAATTCTATAGCATGGATTTAATACTCTATTTTTTACCCCATGGGTTAAAACAAGTAACCAGGTATTGCTGAACTTTTATTATCTTAATTAATAATGCATTTTCCATTTAAAAAAACTTCTAAAAATAATGAGTTCAATAAAACCCCAAATCATACAGATTTTAGAAAGCTTCTTTTAGAGTGAAAGCAAAAATAATGAGTTCAATAAAAACCCAAATCATACAGATTTTAGAAAGCTTCTTTGCTTTCCAAATATTTTAGAGGACTATTAGATGATAGTAAGGGCCAGATGCTGACGCCCTCTCTCACATTGGCTGATATTTGAATTGATATTGCCTTATTCTGGCAATAATCTCAATTATTTCAGTAGAAGCAAGTGTTTGAGTGAGAATATTGCAACCCAGCCTCAATCAAACATCTCTGCTTTCTTCTCTTTGAGCGTATGAGGGACCACAAACTAGGTTATGAAAAAGAGGTCCAGATCTATTGGCACTGGAAGGATCACATCATTAGGCTATGTCAGGAAATATGAGGGTTCTTTTATCATGGCCTCCTTGAGAAAGTGTAGTCCCACCTGCATGAAAGTGCCATAGCTCCCTCCTGCTCTGTAACCTCATCTGCCACGTACAGACAATGGTTGGACTTGTGCCTGGCAGCCCAGGAGAGAGGTCACAGTGCAGTGCTGCACGTGTGTAACACACTCGAGTGCAGAAGAGAGTGAGCTGGGTGCCAACTGTGCGAGTTTCACACCGGGTGTCTGAGTTTTGACAAGTCTGTGTGATTAAAATTCTCTTTTGACAGGTATTTGAAAACTGCACCTGTGTTGCAGCCTCAGGGTTTTCATCTCAAAATGTCTCTGCGGTTCTGGGCCAGTGTGACGGAGAAGAAAACTGTGACAAGATGCTTCATTATTTTTTAATATTGTCATTAGTCTGCAGCTTCATTTATTCCTTAGCAGCCATGCCTGGGTATATGGTTTTAATAAGGTACAGTAAAATTTCCTTATCTCAAGAAACTGACTGGACTTTTTATTCTGAGGTCAAACACCTCCAGGAATTATAACTGTGTTAGTTTGTGTATGGAGGGAGGGAGGAAGAATAGAAAGTTTGTATGTAATTTCTATGCTGTGTTAAGGTTTAGTGTCCTGTCAGTTTTATAACCTATTGTTGCTTCTGGCTATCCAAATCATGATCAAGATCAAAATTTTATACTGGTTTCATATGTTAAATCCTGTCAAATTACATCCAAGCCCCAAATGGTTTGTTGGATCAGCTTGCCTGCCTCTGGTGCTCTTTGGATGCTCTCGAATGTTCTCTCTGGTTACTATTGAATCATAGAGCCATAGCTTCCAGGCACAAATACAAGTTGGGCAGAGAATGGCTCAGGAGCAGCCCTGAGGAGAAGGACTTGGGGGGGTTGGTGGATGAGAAGCTCGACATGAGGCAGCAATGTGTGCTGTCCGCCCAGAAAGCCAACCACATCCTGGGCTGGATAAAAGAAGCATGGCCAGCAGGTTGAGGGAGGTGATTCTACCCCTCTACTCTGCTCTTGTGAGACCCCACCTGGAGCATTGTGTCATGTTCTGGAGTCCTCAGCACAGGAAGGACAGGGACCTGTTCAAACAGGTCCAGTGGAGGACCACTAAGATGATCAGAGGACTGGAGCACCTCTCCTATGAGGAAAGGCTGAGAGAGTTGGGGTTGTTCAGCCTGGAGAAGAGAAGGCTCTGGGGAGACCTTATAGAGGCCTTCCAGTACCCAAATGGAGCCTACAGGAAAGATAAGCAGAGGCTCTTTATCAGGGAGTGTAGTGATAGGACGAGGTGAAATGTTTTTAAACTGAAAGAGGGAAGATTTACATTAGATACTAGGAAGAAATTCTTTCCTGTGAGGGTGGTGAGACACTGGAACAGGTTGCCCAGGGAAGTTGTGGCTGCCCCATCCCTGGAGGTGTTCAAGGCCAGGCTGGATGGGGCTTGGAGCAACCTGGTCTAGTGGGAAGTCTTCCTGCCCATGGGCAGGGGGTTGGAACTCAATGAACTTTAAGGTCCCTTCCAGCCTGAACTATGTTTCTATGATTCTGCCAACTCTGTCCTGAGTTAATGTGGGACAGCTGAGTCAGTACACTGAGATATGGAGAGCTGTGTGATACCCATCTGTTTATGGATCACCTCAACAGGATGTTGATTAAAGCACAACTGTCTTGCACTTTGCACTGGCCTTAGTCTAAGTGGATGATACTGGGACAATAGTTTTTCCTGTTGGCAGTCTTACTTAAGGAACTTAAGTAAATGTCACCTGATGAGGATATTGAACTCTTTCAATGAGTGCTCTAATTAGAATGGTTTGGGCCTAATGTGATGAAGAGTTTGATTTACAAAAAAACAGAGTAAACATTTTTTTCCTAATGTCACCTTTACTAATTGGTGTACAATGTAATTATCATACAGGTCTCTAAAGCCTGAAGAAAAGTCATTTGGAGTAGGTATCCATGGACTAGCTTCAAGAGTATTTGGTAAGGAAAACTATAACACACTCCAGAAGCACAGTTAGATCTCATTTAGAGTCAGACAAGGATCACTTCAGGGCTATAGGCATGGCACAGGAGTGCACTTTGATAGGAAGAATTTGGGGTTTTTTACAGATGTAGGCAGCATGCCAAATTAGAACAGCTTTCCATTTAGGCTATCATAGGTAAAATGCTGACTACATCTGCTGATCATTGGAAAGCCATTTTACAGCCCACCACTCTTGTTATATGTTTATCAAACATAATACTCACTCTCACTGATGAGAAAATGTTGGGTTTCAAATAGGAGTCACAGTCCATATTGTAGCATGGATATATTGTTAAACAGGCAACAGGAAAGAAAATCTTTGGTTGAGGGTAAGTGGATAAGGAGGAGGAGAGAACATAAGAAATACAGAGAACATGGTTCATGCTGCAGGAGGACAGGACAGATGGAGTAGGTGAGAAACAGCATAGGTTCTGTAGTGTACTTGCTAATCAGAAACAAAACACTTCACAAAAACATTGCTAATATCCTTTTTAGCTGGAATTCCATCTCCCATTTATTTTGGAGCTTTGATAGATACTACTTGCTTGAAGTGGGGTACTGTGACCTGTGGTGGAGAAGGAGCATGTAGGATGTATGACATTGTCACATACAGGTATATTTTCCACTTTATTTTAATTCCTCCTTCTTACTGTATTATTACATGTATAGAGATATAATTGTACACTCTTTATCTTTTCCTAGTAGAAAAAAACTGCTCCTGTGTTAGGGATTTGATGCAACACTTTTCTTTGGCACTGGCTTTTTCGAGAGCAACCTTTGCCACAGATGTTGGAACACCCTTTGAACAGAAAAGTTCTGGTGCCATAATTACATTCACTGATAGCCTTTCATGAGAGCAGACCTTAAAACACTGAATTCTGATAACAAAATTAAAAGCAGTAAGCCCTTGTGGAGAAAAATGTCAGATGTTTAATGATTGAAATAGTACTTGAATCAACATATAGGAGAAATTTATAGAGAGGATAAAATTACCCAAGTTGGAAATTGGCCCAATATACTACACTTCATGCTTTTGTGGTTCTTCAAGGAACACTGTGGGACTTGTCAATGAAGTCTTGTTGGACTAATGGCCCCAGGCTTATTCCTTCTAATACTGTGTTGAGGTTGATTTGGAAGAAGAATACTAACTCATGAATACCCAGAAGTCTTACTTAGGTGGTCTGAGCTGCCCTTTCCAGGGTTCTCTCTTTGCCCTGTGGAGAAAGCCATAAGGGTACCAGGTGGCTAACTTCACTGCTTAAATTAATTGCCTAAGTTTGGTAATGTAAGTAGCAATTTTGCTGGCACTGACATATTCTCCATTCTCATATTGATTTATCTTATGTGAGATTCAAAAGGATCAGGTCACAAGCTTTAGAGAGGTCGGGCAATTGTCACAAAATGGTATATACTGACTAATTATGCTATTTTTTCATGAGTGATACATTTAATGAATCTCATCTTTTATTTCAGGTGGCTCTATCTTGGCCTGCCAGCAATATTACGTGGAGTGTCCTATATCCCAAGTGCACTAATTCTCCTTATTTTAAAGAAGAAAGTTAAATCTGAAAGCCAAATCTTATTAAATGCACCAGTAGAAATGCAGGATAAAGTGCAAGAAGAATTGAAATAGCATTTCGAAGCAGGACATATTGTGGAAAAACCTTACAGTGTAAATTTTGGGTATATCTTTGTGAAAGATTTAATACTTTAACTAGTGAACACTTGGACAGAGATTAATAGAATTACACATACTTGTATTCTAATTATATTATAAAACTATCAGTTCATAAACAGAAGTTACAGCAAAAATGTGTTTGATGCAAAAGAACAAGGAGTAGAAATAAGAAGACATATGAAATGCTAGGTTCATAGCAAAGGTCTATGAAGCAGAAACATATGTTTTCCGTCCTGATTTCATTATATATAGTAAGAGTTTTGCAAATTACTCCAATGATGGCAGATTTCATCCTGGAATTCTCCAATGGCTTCTGCCACAGCCTCTCTCAATGACTGTGGACAGGACTGGTAGCTTCTTTGGGCCTGGCTTTTCCATAAATTTTATTAATTATGCTGTTAGTCCTTTCAGGCAGGCACTGTTTGTTATTCTGCATAGTGTAGATGGTCAATATATTGGGAACCTGGTTTATGACATGACCTGGGTGCTGTGGTAATAATAACAAAAAAGGATAAAAATATTTTTTAAAAAAACTAGGCTTATGGCAACATTTTAAGGTTTACAGAGAACATGGACAAGGAAGAGTTATCAGGATTTGTTACTTCAGTTGCATTTACTCTAGAGAGGAATAATTCATACATTAAGCATGATAGAATGATACTTGTGAGTATTTTGCCCCTCATATTGCTGTCTGCTAAATTCTATACCTTCTCATGTCTTTTCATTATTTTTTGAATGGTACATAACCATAGTCATACATGTGTTCTTCTTGGTCTTTGTCCAATTTTTATTTCTCTCAGATGTGATGCTACAATGAAAGTAGTATCTGTTTGGGGTTCATTAACAATGAGCTGTTGCCCTAGGATGTCTTAAATATCTTGGGAAAAGGCCCTGAATGTCTCAGGAAAAAAAAAATACAGAAAACCCTACTGATAAAGGTATATGTAACTCTAGGTGTGTCTTTGGTTGAACATGGTGCATCCATGTTTAGCTTCTAGATTGGAACTGCCTCATATTTAGGTCTATCTGCAGGTGGCCATGCAATAACTTCTCAAGCCCTTTTATTACAGCTGTTAGAAATAAAAAACCCGAAAACCTCCTGATTATTGTTCCCTACTGCATATGGCATGGACGGAGCTTCTGGAACTTTACCACAGACCAATGCTCCAGCACTTGCAAGTATTTCCTACCCATTTAATCTATATGGCACAGATTCACTCCTATTTTATCCATCTGGGACCTTCTGCAGCCACAGAAAAATGGGAAGGATTTATTCCACAAGTAGCTATGTTAGTTAAGTTATATTCTGTTTTACTTTAAGATGTCTTGTGAACACCATATGTGTATGTGCCTGGAATTTCTTCCTGTCCTTGTGGAATCAATGACAGAAGGTCAATTTCTTCCCACAGAGCAGGAAATCAGCTGTAGAATTTAGTTTCTTCAAGTACAGGAGGTTTTCACAAGGCTTTGGAAAAGGTATGTCACAGCTCCTTCCTCCCTTTGCATGAGATGATAGAGCTGAACAGGTATAATATGAGGAAGGGGAACAGAAGAAAAAGCAAACGTGGTGCAGCCTGTAACAGAGCAGAGCAGAAAATGCAGCTCTTTATTAAGCCATGGATCTTCCAGGAGCTTCGTGAACACTTGAAGCACAGCTGATTTTCAGCATTGTTCTTGCTGCCATGGGGCACTTAATGAAAGCCATCATTCTTCCTTGTGGATATTATATTCGTCCAAAGCTTGAGTTAAAAGTCTTTTGCAGGCACAGTTTAGTGCCAAGGTAACCTGGGAAACGTGAAAAGTCACAGTGCACCGAAGTTTCACAGCTGTAGGAAACAAAAGGGCTTTGTTAGGTAGGCAAGTCTGTGCAATTTAAATGGACCACTGCCTAAGAGTCAGGCCTAGTTAACTCGCTGTCTTTTGAAAGCAGATAGGAAAGTTTCCAAGTTTTAAGTTTAGCATCTGAGTGGATGCATTAACTCTCTTTTCAGTTGTTCCAGTTCATCTGCTGGAGAATGTAGCAGCGAAACAGGCTGCCTTCACCAGATGCTTTGGAGTCATTAGCCTTCTACTCGGTCTGTTTGTCAACTGGCTGGGTGATGGTAGAGAGGTTTCTTGGCATAAGCCTGTGGTAGGAACGTTACTTCCACAGAGCAAAACCAGGAAATGAAAGTACAGGTCATTCCAAAGTAGTTGTCATAAAACCTTTATTATGCGTCTGGTAACAACAGACATTCCAAGGATTAGGTCAGGAGGTTAGACAAATATTCTTAGAGCTATTCCTTCAAATGTAAAGCCAAACTTTAGACTTGATCCTTCCAAGTTTTGGGCGTGTTGACTTTTGTTTAGCAAAGCATTTAAGCGTGTGCTTAACTCAAGAATAAGTGGCCTTATTGATGCTTGTTTAAGTAGGTGGCATCAGACATTTCAAGGCTGAGCCCAGACTGCCACTGTTGTGACACGTGTTCGAACAGAGGGTACTTGCTGTGGGTTACAGTAAGTACTCAGATGGTATTCACTGCGCTTGAAAGTTTGGGCTGATCTTGGTCTGATGTTTCAAGCCCCAAGACTTGCATCAGCACCGTGGGTAACACAAGCCACAAATGGGCATAATGCCAATAGAAGTAACAGTAAGTACAAAGTTTTTTTTTTTTACAAAACAGGAGCATATGAATATTGAAGTTGAATAAGTCCAATATCAAATTAATAAAAATGGATGGTAGGTTTATTTTCTGAGTGCCTCACAGCAGAGCAGATGGTTTTCACAGTAAAATCAGCCACATTTCTTTGTCACTGAAGTTATAAATCAGTAAAGGGCGCCCATGAGTCAAATTTTGATCCTTAAACCTACCAAGTGGAAGGTAGGAAGGTAGGTCTTGGTACCTGGATATGGAGGCTGCCAGACACTGAGAAACAAACACTTGATGGTTTTCTGGCTACGTGACCCATGCAACCATCTCGGAGATATTTTAAAGGTAATGGTACACAGACCGTGCACACATATATTTATCTAGCATCTTGTACTCAATGCCTTTTGTAATCCTGACGTTCTGCTGGGGGGTTTTTGATCATGATCAGGTGGTGAGCTGCCATTTACAAAGAAATAACAAGAAAGTCTTCAGTATCTTACTGAAAAAGGGCAATATGTTGTAAAAAGCACATCTCTCTCTATATGTAAGCTATGTTTTTTTTTCAATTTACTTTATTTTCTCTGTATGAACTTTTATTTTTATCAGCTACTTTATTACCAAGTCTCTCCAAGTATTTTACAGGTCATTATTAAGTTTTATATGTATCCTAAAAAATTCTGTGTCTGGTATGAACTTCATTTTCTCCCTGTCACATCTAACTTTTAAGAATTGAAACATATTCTTGATGCACAATTAAAATTTTCTGATTATGCATATTGTTCAAGCTATGATTTTTTTTTTTTTTTTTTGAGAGGAAATTACTCATTTGAGATGAAAAAATGTTACCTGGCAAGTCGATTTTAATCAGTGGCCATAAGGGAGGTGTGGTGACCAAAGCTGCATCATTACACAAGAATTTGGCTGTGAGGACATGACTGATTTATGATACGAATGCTGGCCTTGTGTTTGCCAATGCAGGTGGCCATGCAATAACTTCTCAAGTCCTTTTATTACAGCTGTTGGAGAAAACAACGTCCCGATTATTATGTTATTATATGTTACTAACATATTATCTTAACATAAATAGCTTTTGACTACACGAGCATTGCAGTTTTGGACAAGTATTATTAACAATTCAAGTTTCCTTTCTTTTCCAGTCATTTCAATTACAGTGAAGAGTAGACTGTTTCTGTTTTCTTTCTCTCTGAAGCTGAGTTTTAGTAGACGACTCCTCCCTACAGAATCTTCTCATCTGAGCAAGCCTCAGATTCCCAGGAACTTATTCAATCTTCAACCTGTGGATGTGGAGAGAGGAAGACCTGAGCATACCTGGGATGGGATTTGGCATGCAAAAAAGCCAAATAACTTTTTAGTTTATTTAAGTCTGGTCATTTGATGAAAACTGGATATATCCAGCAACAAGTTCTTGGCTACTGCTGCTTTTTTTTTTTTTTTTTTTTAATTCTTAGTCTTTTCCTTTCATAATAAGGCATGAAGTGTTCCCAGTTATGCTGGTTGGGATTTTGAACTCTCATTGTTTAGGACTTTCTCTGAGAACATGGAAAATTACCAGGTAATTTTCCCTTCTCTTGCTTTGTTCAAGGAGTCAAAGGCATAGTTTACTTGAGTCACAGAAGACTTAAACAACAGGACAAAAGGCAGTAGACCCCTTTAGAAAGCGAAATCTCAGGTTCTAACATCCCTTCAAGAAGAGATGAGTCGGTAGCTCCATGCCAGAAACGTGACTTATGCCTGTTAATTTCCAACAGAGGTGCTTAGGGGAACACACACACTGTTTGTTAAGGGCAGATGTGTATGTGACCATAGGTCACAGTTTACTGGATCCTTATAGCTTGGGCAGTGTGAGAGGAAGGTCCTCACTTGGAGGGCAGAAAGTTTACTACAGGTGGGAAATGCCAGTGTAAAAGAAAAAGTTCATTACAAAGATTTTCCTTTTTAAATGGCCTTGACCCCTCCTGTGTTTGTGTAAAGGCTGCCTAGCTTTATAATGTTAGCATTTAAATGGTTCCAAAACAGGCTTTGAAAAAAAAACCCAGACTTTTCATTTGAGGTTAATAGAACACCAAGTGGCCCAGTTCATGCTGTACCAGACTTCTCATTTGAGGTTAATGGAACACCAAGTGGCCCAGTTCATGCTGTACCTTTGCTGTCACTATTGTTTCCAGGCAGCTCTCTGGAAGGCCAGAGTGCAGGCAGCTGTATGCTCTCTGGCACACCATGACTTTGCTTTCTTCTGGACATTGTAAACCAATCTCAAGAAAACTTTCTGGTGTAAAGACAGAATCATATATAAAACAAGCTTAAGTTTCTGCAGAAATTTTCAGAATTTAAAAAAATTTCCAAGAGGACATGAGCCCTGCTTTAATTTTCTTTATTTTCCCCCTATAGATTCCTACTTTACACTGCATTTTAAGTTGGAATGTTCCTCCTGATGAATCTGAATAATAGGATACCAGCATTTGCAACAATGCTGCTGCTGCTGCCTTGTGACTGATTTCAACTTACGACCAGGAGCTTGCAGGAATATTCCTATCAAAGGTACACAAACACATACACAGACAACTAGTATTGCTTATGCACTCATTTATTTTTCAGGCATTACAATTTAACAGACAAAGTTTACCAAGGGACTTCTCTTTTCATTTTAATTCTTTCTACGTAGGAGTCTGGCTTCTGAAATCCTGTCCTGAGTGCTGGAGAAGTTATTTCTAAATTCAAATATACCAAACACAAAACTATTAATTGCTTCCAACTTTCCCTGTTCATTTATCTTGCTATGTTTTCACGTCAGACCAGGCCTGAGCAACAGAGGTTGCGTATGGTTATGAACTTGCCTCACAGTCAGTTTTTCAGTTTTTTCCTGTATAAATTAGTAAAGGCCGTTGTATGAAGAGAAGAGCTTAGATTTCTCCAAGTCTTATTTTTGTATGAACGTTGTGTACTTGCTACTATGCCCCTCCACGGGAGCAGCCAGTGATATTGCTAAAAAAGAATTGTGACTTAAGTGAATGTCTGGAGAGATGAAGAGTGTAGTAGATGTGTGAGAGCTGTTTTGCTTCAGTACTATGGGCCGGTAAATCCCCCAAAAATCTGCATCACACAGAAAGCCCTTATATATTTAGGTGGCTTTAATAGTAAGGATGATCTATTGCAATTATTCGGTGTAGCTGGTATAATTAGTGTCCCCCTTGAACTTTTCTGATACCTCTCTTCTCACAGTGTATGTAATACCAAGTAAAGAGGAGTCTGTGCTGGGCTGCAGTTCAGTCTTCCAGATGTGAAGATGATTAATAAATAGGGAGTTACATCGTGAAATTCAAAGGCCTGAACGCCCCAAAATGAACCGCTGAGCTCTCAATGCTCATTTGTGTGTTTATTATCATAAACTCACTAAACAATATCTTCTTTAAATAAAGTGACGTGAAGAGAGAGCACCAAGGTTAGTCTGCATGTGCCTTTGGTTTAAAGAAGGAAATAGGAAGGAGAAGAGGTACCAAGAGGGTCTGTTTAGCCCATGTTTGCATGGAAAGAGATCCAGATAACTCCTGGTAGCACAGCGATCCTTACTCAATGTTGATGTGCTATAGGGTGACAGACAGAAGATAGGAGTTGCTGTGGGAATCAGACCTTAGGCTGCCAGGCAACAGCCAAGGGTTAATACCTGCACATAACATTTAGCAAGTGCAATGTGTGCTGGAATAACCCCGTAATCCAGACAACCCTATGGAAACAAGTGGTGCATCCGCCTAGGCTATCGTGTAAATTATAATAATATGCTTGGCAACCTTTTTCTTGTTGCTTTTGATTTTGTAATCTCTCTCTATCCCTCACTAGAGGCTTTGCCAGATGCCAGTGTCTCCTGTAGCAAAAAGACTTGGCCTTGTCCCCCTCGGATTTGCAGCACCAGGGGGATCTTCTATTGCTCCAGTGCAACCTGATCTTTGCTTGAGAAGGGAAACTACTTCCCAAGAGTTTGGGGTCACCAGGTAACTCTCTGTGATCAAAGAGTGTTGGTTGTGGTAAATAGAAAGGGAAGGCAATAAACAGAGCGTGCTGTGCCTCGGCGTTGCCTGCATGGCAGGGAGAAGAACATCTGGTGCTCCTGGCTTGGGTGTAAAAACTGCACCGCAAGCTGCAAGTGGGAACCCCTGGGCTATCAAAGGGGGTTTAAAGTACTGCCTCATTCTGAAGTGCTCGTGCTGGAGAACATAGGTAGCGACGTAATGAACAGATGGGAACAATTTAGGCCTCCAATTCTAGTCCTGATTGTGTTAGTTGAGTGCTTCTGAGTTTATAAATCAAGTGCAGTGAATAAATTACATTCTCTACCACCAATAAAAGTTATTTCTTGGCACATACATATTGTTTGTCAAGTCTCATTTTAAAATACAGATGACATGATTTCCATTAATTCTCTGGAGATTGTTTTAAACTCTGTTAATTTTACTGACTTGGAACTTTTCCCAGTATGTCATAGACACCCTGCTGTGTTCACTTTTTCTTTTAGTATTGAGTTTCTCATCCAATTTAATACCCATTTTTTCTCTTTGATGTTCTTTGCATTCTTCAGATACTTACTTGCGTCAAGTTCCCTAAAGTAAGCCTGTACCTTCCCTGTGTACTGAGCACCTTATGATTTGTCTCAAGAATGAATGAAATTTGTGTGATCCTTATCTAATGAAATGTTTTGAAAACTGGTTCTTGACTGGCATATTCCTTTTTTGCAGTGAAAAAGGTCTTCCAGTATTGCTTTAACCAAGGTCTTTACGAAACAAAAAGCAAAGAGCTGTTTTTTGTAAACTGTGTTGTCATTGACCCTGTGTAACCGAATGTCAGAAACTTGTATTTCTTGTATAGAACTTGTATAGAAACTCCTATTTTTACTTTTCAGAACCTGCAAAGCCAACAAAGAAAAAAAAAGAAACATGGGTCAGCATGCTGCTGCCTGGAGTGGAACAACAAATTAGTGAGTATACTGCCTTTTTAATGTTTACAACTGTATCACTGATGCTACATATGACTTTTCTTATAGATTTTAGGGGAAGATATCTTTACATTCCTTAGCAGAAGAAATTCCCATTGTGTGTTAGCCTGAGATTATGCTGCACAATTCTTTTAGTGACAGTTCACAGTGTTTGCTCTTCATGTAAAAACCCAACTCCCTCAAAGCCAATTACTGCACCCAATGCTTAAAAAATCCTTAATGCAAAATTTCATTAAAAATCAAAGTTCTACATATAATATTGCTTCACAAAGTAGCTGTGAGAAAAGCAGCCTTCCTTGGAAATGCAAGGAAAAATACTGATCTAGGGAGAAATTAAGAAATGTTTTCCTTGAAGCTTCCCACATCAAGTGCTTTTTAAGTGAAAGCAGAGTTTGTAAGTTTTATTTAGTGACTTTTAAAACATCGTTTAGTAGTAAAAAAACCAAAACCCTAAGTTGCATAAGTAATAATAGTCATACATATAAAAGTACTTTAAGGTTTTTTCATAATTAAAGAAAATGAAGATAAGGTTATAACATCTTAATGTACAAACAAATCTGTATCGAGATGTTCCTCCCACGTTTCTCACCAAGGACAGAGTGAAAACTATTTGAGAATTACTTAGCAATACCATAAGTTAATACTGTACTTTTGAATGCACTTAAACACCAATCATTTAGATAGGCAAAAGTGGTGCAGGTCCATCACAACGCTTACAAGAATTCTCCCTGAGACTTTGATCAAATTTACTGGGACATAGGGTGTTTGCACTG